GGGTCTCTCAACCCCCCCCTGCCCACCCCCACGGGCAGTGGGACACTTTGTGCTCACCCAGCAGGACTAAGCCCAGTAGACAGGGATGATGCTGCAGAGGATGCTTGCTGAGGTGCCCAGGAGGGAGCGATCAGCCAGGGGCATGGCGAGCTTCTTCTCAGCCTGGTGAGGGGACAGGAGGACAAATGAGGGGCCAGAGATGTGATGCTGCACCCCAATTCTTCACTTGAGGGGGGGAGTTACACAAGGTACCAGGGCATTCCCACATTCCCCCCCATGTCCCATTCCTGTGCTCACCTGCCGGCGTTGGAAGGTCTCAGCGATGGCATCCAGCCCTGGGATGTTGTCCTTGTCCACGCGGGTGATGTAACAAGCGTGATGGAGCTGGGATCTGTAGCTCACCAGGAGCTGGTTGCAGACAGACCCACATCAGCTGTGTCCCATCTGCCCTGTCCCCCCCTCCCCAAGCTGTGTCAGGCTCCCCACTCACATTCTTGTAATCATAAATGACCGTGGCCAGGTTTCCATCTTCACCATCCAAGAAGAAAGTGGCCACATCCTCTTCCCACCCTGGTCCTCTCCACAGCCCCTCCCCCGTCATCCGCAGGACCTGGGGGACATGGAGTGGGGGGAGCTCACCCCCTGTGGCAGCCCCTCCTGGAGGGTGATTGTGGGGGTCTTTAATTAAGGGGATCCCCACTTACGGTGTCCGCGTGCTGCTGGTCCGCTCGCAGCCACATCAGCAGGGCGCCGGCGATGATGACCACCAGCAGGACCACCACCACCACCACGATGAGGAGACACTTGAGGTGGTGGCAGCTGAGGAGTTTACGGGGCAGGTAGCAGAGCAGGCGGGGTATGAAGCAGAGGGACTTCTTGAGACAAGAACAACCGGGACAACCGGGGCAGCTGGGGCATTTGCAGCAGCGGGGCAGGCAGCACCGGGCACATTTGGAGCAGCAGATCGTGCAGGGCAAGCAGCAGCAGCCTGGTTTGCAGCATCCCTGGGAGCCACAGCAACCCTTCTCCGGGTCCTGTGGGCATGGAAAAGGGGGATGGAGGTGGGAAAGGGAGATGGAGATGGGAAACAGGGATGGAAATGGAATCTGGGGGATGGAGATGATGGAAAAGGGAGATGGAGATGGGAGCTGGGGGATGGAGATGGGAGCTGGAGGATGGAGATGGGGAAGGGGGATGGAAATGGAATCTGGGGGATGGAGATGATGGAAAAGGGAGATGGAGATGGGAGCTGGGGGATGGAGATGGGAGCTGGAGGATGGGGATGGATGTGGGGAAGGGGGATGGAAATGGAATCTGGGGGATGGAGATGATGGAAAGGGGGATGGAGGTGGGAAAGGAGGATGGAGATGGGAAAGGGGGACAGAGATGATGGGAGCTGTGGGATGGAGGTGGGAAAGGGGGATGGAGGTGGGAAAGGGGAATGAAGATGGGAAAGGGAGATGGAGATGATGGAAAAGGGGGATGGAGATGGGAGCTGGAGGATGGAGAGATGGGAGCTAGAGGATGGAGATGGGGAAGGGGGGTGGAGGAGGGAAAGG